TACCACAAACGGCGAGGAAAACGCCATCTGTAGTACGATGCTACATTTTGGGATTACGTATGCTCCAACACAACCTTGTAATCCCAAAATGTAGCATCCTACTACAGATAGCGTTTTCCGCGCCATTTGTGGTATTTTCTAAAACGCGCTGTTCAGACAGCAGGTAAAAGTTGGTCTGTGTTCTATCGGAGCTGCCTGCGACGCGCTGATGAGATCCAAAAATATCAAAATTGCGATCCGCGTCCAGCAGTTTCGACAGAATACTGACCACTTCGAATTATTTTATTCAATATATCAATTCTTAAATTCATATACTCAGTTAGGAATAGTTCTGACCAGAACTACAGTAAAAACTTTACATTCGTAGTTTTGTAGGCTTATGACACTAAATAAGTATGCCAATTTGGGTGGAAAAATGGTTAGCACCACGAAATTCTGCCATATAAATATAGCTTTTGGGGTGAAAAATACACAACCTGGGGTAGTTCTGTTCAGAACTACACCAAGTTCAAATTCGTAATTAACATACTGTGAAGCCACGAACTCGTAGGTTAATCCTATCAATTAGTGACCCTATTTTTCTATTAATTTGTAAACAATTGAATTCTCGCGAAAATGCAAGAGAATTTTTCTATACGGTTTTAGAGACTGACCCTAATCTCCTGCTAAAACTAGAAAAAAGAAAATTTTCAAACTTTTCAACTTTTGGGCAAAATTATTTTTGGAAAGCTCATTGCAAATACTATCAGGAACTCTAAAACTCTGTTTCTTATCGTTATATGGTACGATATAAGGGTGCGGCATGCAGTCAGCATCCGAAATTTCGTTGTTTTGATTTTATCATTAAAAATGAAGAACTATCAACACACTCGATCGAGAACTCACAAGAAAATTTAAGATAAATTAATTTTCTTTCCCATGACTACGCCTCCCATTTAAATTTTCCTCGTTGTATATTCTACATCCGCAAAAGCTAGTTTGAAAAGACCTGCACTCAAGGGACATCCTTGACTCACCCCGTTAATCGTGCTAACTTTTTCCGAAATTTCTTCACTGATTCTCACATTAAATGATGTTGCTTCATATATTTCCTCTATTCTTTTTCTTAACTTCATATTCATTCCTTTTTCTTCTATTATACTCTATATTTTCTCTTTGTTTATCCTGTCAAAGGCTCCCTTCATACCAGCAAAGAATAGGAAGATTTCACCTTTTTCTTTCTTTATTTCTTCCTCAATGGCCATCTATATTGCATCCAGTGTCCCTCTTCCTTTTCTGTAGCTTATTTGTGTATCATTCATGAGATTTATTCTTCTATTTCTGTCTTGAGCCGATTTTTTTTAGTATCTCCGCGTATATTTTATATCCAGTGTTTATTTCCACAATGCCTCTCCTCCATTCTTCTGGTAATTTTGCGTTTCCTTTCCATATGTCATTTATTATCCCATCCCTTCACCTGTTGCTTTCTTTTTTTTAATCTTTTTAATTTCTTCTCTACTTATTTCGTCTTCTTCTTCCTCTGGTTTTTTGTTTCAGTTTTCGGATTTCCAATGCTTAATTCTTCTACGTCTGTTTCTTGGTCCTCCTTGTTTTTTCTTTCAATTAACAGTCTGAATTTTTTTCTCACAGTGTAGAAGTCTTGCATGTTACCTTCCTTTTTTGTTGCATTTCCCTTTGTTTCTTTTAGCTCTTGCTTTATTTGATGGCACTCTTGTCCCACAATTTTTGTTTTTACATTAATATATATCAATACACTGTATATGTATTATAAATGCGCTAACTTCATTTTAAAAATTATTAAAATTTAGCCCAATTACTGTTATAAACCGTGTTTAATTTATTCTAAACAATCTTCTATTTTCGTTAAATTTCGTAGAAACTTTAAAACGCAGATACGTTAAATGCAATTACACTGCACCCCTGCAATTTAATTTAACAGTGTTTCTTTTCAATTACCCGCCGTTTAAAGTTAATTACTTCCTCCTCTTGACCTGAAGGATAGCGAGTTGCCTGCAGATCTTTATCAATGTAACAGTTTTCAGAAAGTGCCGTTATCAATATCTATTCACGTATACGTGGAGAATGTGGAGAATTGGAACAATGGAAGCAGTCACGCAAAAATTAATTTCAATGGATGCGGAGCAAAATATTTGCTGCTAAACATGGACTCGCGTAAATACCTACCAGGCTTTTAATGTGGAGCTGATATTGGAGCGGATTCCCACAACAAAAGTAATTCTGAATGCCAGAGATACCTAGCTACATATATGTAAAACTCTCTCTCTCCCTGCCTACCTATCATAAATAACTGAAAGGGATGTATCTTGTTTGAAAATGTCTCTTCTCAGAATAATACACAGAAAAAAAAGAAAACGAAAGAAAATAAAAACAAAATAGAAAATCTGTTTTGTTTTGCAGAAATATTCTGGAGCCGTAACATACTTATCTTATCGTTAGATTATAACATTAATTAATATATTTATTACGAAATATAAAAAGCAAAGTTGAATATTGATGTTAACTTGCATAGTGTAACAAAATAAACAGTAAAAGGCATTTATATCTGGGAATAAAAACTATAGAAATCAATTGTTTGAAAAATTCGGAACCTAAGGAATATGTTCTACAAAATATATTTCTAATATTATGTGCATAATAGAAATTTTTTAAAATTGTACATGTTTTATAAACAGCTTTTCATCATTCATCTTTGTACGTATTTTCTAGTTTTCGAAAATGATCCTACGGTTCAAATAAAGTAAAAAAAATTAAAAAGAAAACCAGTTAGTTAACAAAATATAACAAAAATTTAGCTATTTCGATACTTGAAATTCGAGCAGTCAGGTTGCCTAGTACCCTAGTTTGCCTACATGGACGGACCGTCCCTAGATACTAGCGTAAACTCGACGTTCATAAAGTTTCCTGAGACTGGAACCACGTTGGTGAAAATGTTATCGACTAGCAATTGCTATATGAAGAGAAAAATTACATAGCGAGTGCAAAAAAATTTAGTATCAGTCTAATATTTTTTGTAAAAGAATGTTATAAACTTTACTACAAAGCATAGGAATATATATTGCGCTAGCATAGTAATTTTTCCATTTTCAGCCAAAGAAACCCAGATTATGAGACGACACAGTAATTTTTCTCTTCGTGTAAGATTGCATTAAATGTATTTAACATTACTTACTGTTACTTTGAAAAAAGCTCCCCAATACCCTCTTATAAATAAAAGGCGAATGAGATTAATGAGCAGTAACGAGCCGGACAAGAGCCTTGTGATCCTTAAGGAATCGTTAGCATGACAAACAGTTACTTACCGCTTTTCCAGCCAGAAAGCTGAGAAATGAGTAACGTTAAGCCCCTTGAACTAGGTTAATGAACACCATCACTCTTTTTACTAGCTCTAATATATGCCGTGCGTGTATAAAAAGCCCTCTGGTAACAACCCACCCCTTAACAACATTCAAAAGGTTCTTCGTTCAAGCAATCTAAAGATAGCTCGTTTGGCTGCTTTCATAGTTTCATATTTGAAAACGTAACTATTATACCTTTCGCGGGCAGAAAATTAAAAAGCTGCTTCCATCATCAAACAACGCTTTCAATCATAGCTACACACATATATAATACATGTTAGAATACCAGTAAAAAATCCATAAGCTCGGTTATAAAAATTTGAACTTTAAAAAACCGAAACTAATGAGTTAGGGTAAAAGACAGACTGAAAATAAACAAGAGTATGCTCTGTGCTCATAATTGTAAAAATCAAGGCATTTAACAGGGCCGTATTTAAAACTAAAGGCATTGAAAGAAAGGTTTAATACAGAAATAATAACATGGTATTAAGGGTTGTAATGCGTTTATCGTCACTTTTATTATTTCTCTTAGTGGTACAAGTGGAAAATTAATTCGAAATTTTTAGAGTACATGTTCGACGATTTCCCAATTATTATTTTGACGATTACATATGAAACAGATTTTATAAACCAGATTACTGGCTGGTGCTCTAGGTGAGCCCTGGGGAAGTTTTTCACATTAAGGCGAAACGGTGGTGTGTAATTATAAAAATTAATTAAAACTTTCACACCAGAATTGCTTATTTTATGGTCAACATTGATACTCTTGGACAAGAATCAGTAACTCCCTTTATATAGTAAACAGTAGCGAACAGTCAGTTGATATTTGAAATTTAGTTTTTAACTATTTTGTACTATCTTCTCCAATGTTGAATTAAAACTGCTTCAATGAAAAGCGACCGAAGGGGTGAAATGTTATTTATTTAATTGTAATTTTCAACCGACGTTTCGCCTTTTTGGTCAAAAGTTTTATCAAGGTAAATTACTCAGTTATTGTTTTACATTAGACGGAGACATGGAGAACCCAACTATTTAACAACAATAAGAAACACATATACAAAAACACAGACTGAAATTATAAATTAACACGCAACCTAAAATAATAAATCATAGTTAAAACAATAAATATTAATAAATAATTAAAATAGAAATGGATAAAACGACAATCACAATTATTGTTATTAAATATTTGGGTGATTGAACAAAAAAGGTCTAATTTGCAATAGCTTACTAATGTATCTTGATAAAGCCTTCGAGCAAAAAGGAGAAACGTCGATTGAAGATTAAAAATTAAATAAATAACATTTCAACCCTTTGATCGCTTTTCAATGAAACATTTCTAATTTAATTTTTTTTTCAGTATGTACGTCTAAAAGGAGAGAATGGAAAACCAGTAGAAAATACGTCCCTATTCACAAAAATTTTTCAATTAAGTGGTTTAAAAGTTTCGCTGTGTTAAATAAGAACGACCTTTGTATGTGATACATTTTCTAAGATTGTATATAGTTCTTCAGACTACCCTTGTCGAGTAACAAAATTTTATACCCACAAGAAGTCACGAAACAATACTTTGATGTCAACTTAGTATTCGCATATTACGTTTTATCTTTATAAAATCAGAAACTTGACAAATTGCTTACTTACATTTCTGAAGTCGATGAGTTGAGTAACGAGGGTACCGTCAGGCCTTTGAAATTCTAAAGTAACTGTGTCATCTGTCACATTTGCTGCTATCGTTTCCTGAACAACATCGCCACCCTGAAAAAAATAAATATTAAAGAGAACAACGGACGCTCTTTGAAGTCATAACCAGCAAAGGTTCCAACGCACTGTAATTTAAATAAAGTCCTAAATGTTAGTGACGAATACTTCCATACAGCGACTAGTAGACTGTGCTTTTTAAATCACCCATTAACATTTTTCGTGGAAACTATATAACTACCTACCTACAATTTCATAATTTTCATTTTTACTTTAATCTAAAAAACGTACACCATGACAGGCAACATGGCGTTTCTGAAAAGTATATGTCTGATTGTTTTCAAAATGTTTTAACGAACAAGTTTTCCGGTTTTTATTCTCATTATCATCATCATCAGGTCGTCAACCCTAAGACTGGTTGGACACGCACCTCCACTCTTTCCTATCCTAAGGTAATCGTCCCAATTTTCTAAAATTAGAACATCCCATATTCTTAACTATTTGAGAACAGTAATCTAATCTAGGTCTACCTCTACCCCTCCTAACTCCTGTTTCTGCCTCTAATATGTCTCTGACTAGACCTTCATGCCTAAGAAGGTGTCCTACCAACCTATCTTGCCTATTTTTTATTGACTTCCATAGAGTCCTCTGTTNATTATCTAGGGATGACTTGTTGCAATACACTGCCCTTAATAGGTAACAAAAATAATTATTCAAATATGTAATCATATTCAGTGATTAGTAATGCCAGTTCAGCTTTCATACACTAAATTAAAAAAATATAATACTTTTTGTTTCCACTGTATTCAGTGCACTGTGGCAGACAGAAACTTCTGGTACTCATCATTAAATTAATTTGATCTAGTTTGCAAAACGCCCTAAGCGCGTAAACGATATTGACAGGAATGAACAAGAACACTGCTCTGCGTTTGACATAATTCGTACGCCAGAATTATTTCCACATAAATCTCTCTAAACCAGCGATAATCCTCTTTGGATACCACATAAAGTTCCTTATTCAGTGAAGCCCTTTTAGTACTGCTCTTATATTTATTTGACTATAAATTTCTTTTCACAAATTCCCTTTATACCAAACAACGACATATTCTCCGTTTAAATTCTGTATAATTCTGATTTACGGTCCCTGTTTCGTATTTCACGTCAATTTAACATCAATTCGCACATTTCCTTATATCTACTGTGTAGGCAAATAACTAATTTTGTACCAAAGTAAAGGTGTTATTTTTGCCTTTTGATGTCATCTTTTCCTGTATTAATTAGATTCACTATATGACGTAATTAACATTGCTGATGTACTGTACAAAGCCTTCGATAACGTAATTTTGATAGCTTTGTGAAAATTAAGAAACGCCTTAAGGCTTTTACCGCTAGTAAATATAATCCTATGTGGGAGTAATTACCACAAAGATCAGGATAATTTTCCTAGTCCAACATTAACTTATTCTTTTCTTATTCATTCGATACATGAAACGGTTTTCTTAAAATCCTTGTCTTTTTCATATCATTAATTAATCACATAATATATAAACACTGTGTAGATATGGTCAAAGGTTTCTTTTGCATTTAGGTATTTCTCAATTTTGTGTTAAAACGAATAACTTTTTCATATTAAGGAGAATATGCTTCAAGGCATTCTGCATTATATATTCACAGAAATGTAAAACAATATTTACTGCTAACTTATCCATGGCGAGTATGGTTCTAATAATTTATTTAACTTTACAACTATTTTTCCAAAGTATTTATACTTCTATAAATATTTATTTTCCGTTTTTTTTAATGGTTGAAACTTTATCACAGGCACTGCATATTCATAGAAAACCAAAGTACATTAGGTCAGTCAAAGATGCCGCAAGCCATTGAATAAGACAGCACCAAAATATGTTACATATTGCCAAAGAAGTTGGTGCTAACAAATTTAGTAGAGTTCACGAAATTTTCAAGAAAATCATTAAATTCTACCATGACAACCGTGTTAATAAATAATAATCGTCGGAAGATTTAATCCCTTCTACTTAATAGTGTGTGTTATTACATTTAATGGAGTGTCAAGTTTGGATTATCGGATATCAGCCCATCTTCACATAATCCTTGCCCGTTACCTTACGATGTCGAATAGAAACGCATTACTTCCTCCTTACACGAGATCTTCCATAAAATAACCCTTAGAATAGTAAAAGATGTATAAAAACTGCTTAAAACGTAAAAGTATCACACAAGAAAAGTTTTAGTTAGATTATGTGTATCATCTACATGTATTCAGTTATTAATTTTTGATGACAATCATTTATGTGGAATTTCACAAAAACTAAAAGTACTTGTTTCCTTCTAAATCCCCGATTGTATTGCCTGGATAAACTAATAAGAGTTTTCTAGAACAGGCTTGACATTTAAAGTAATATCGCATAAAGGTTCGAAATGCTTTGAAATTTCCAGTCGTTCTGTAATTCTATCTAACGCCTTCAAAGGTTAAATAAGCAATTTCAAACTACTTTAAAACAGTATTCAAGACAGTTCAAAATACATCCAACAATTCCCTATAATCTTACCGTATGCCTATAGCAAGACCTTCGGTGGTTCATCTTAGGTAATTATCCTAATAATGACGCTATCAATGTATCGAAATAATGTACCGTACAAATTTTTTTTTTGAAAAATACATTTACAATTAAACAGGATCAATGACTCGGACAACATCAGTGTTTATTCATTGAAGACAATATACAAAAATTTAAAAAACATCACTGGATGTAATAAATGAACCGTGCCGACAAAGCTTTGACGTTTTTGTTTGAAGACCAGCTTTTTGCTTGACTGAGATAAAAGCACAAACGAGAATATGAATTAAAAGACGTCAGGGCTGTTTAATATATAGCAGATGAAAAACTGCTTTTATCCCACAATAAAGTTCAAAAGTAATAAAGTTACATATCAAAAATTGTTCAGGCAAATTTCAATTACTATAATTTTTAATTAATTTAGACCGGTTAATTTAGAAAATCAAAAAAGGTTGTTAAAAATGTGTTTGGAGCACGGCGCTATACGGGTGCGAAATGGACAGTGGGCGCAGCGGAAAAGAAAAGGTTAGAAGCGTTCTAAATGTGGTACTACCGGCGAATGATGAGGATACCGTGGATAGAGAAG